TAAATAAAATCTTAGATTGTTTTCGAACGTATTTTTTAAAATATGACTAATCATTTTTCTTAGATTCAATTTATTTTCAACATTAAAATTATTTTTTCAACCAAGTCATGAAAAATTAAATTCTTGAAGTCTAGCACTTTTTGAATTTTTGGACAAACATTATTGGGGTGTACACCTTAAATAAATATGTCATTCAACTTTTCATTTTAGTACGCGATTTAGAACAAAACAATATCATAGGAATCTAGCATTCTGTGTGATATTTCCGCTGTTCATCCAAATATTTTTCAGATAAAAATGGTGTTATTGGAATCTAGCATTTCGGTAATACCCCGATTATTTAGTTGTGAGGCCGACGTCTCATTTATTAAATAAATGATATTTTCAAATCCAATCTCTCGTTCTCACTTCTCATGGTCACAAATTATTTTCATACCCATTTCATTTCAAATTACTTTCAGCAATAATTCATCGATTAAAACTCCGAAAGAGGGAGATTCTTGAAATCTATCATTTCTTGGATCTTCGAATGAGCAACTCTCGAGACTCGCTCTTGAGTTGTTGTTCATTCAATCTTTTGATTTTCTCACGCTTTCTCAATATCTTTTCTCGATTAAAACTCCGATAGAAAGAGGCGCTCGGAGTCTAGCATTCCTTGTGTCTTCGAGTGAATAACTCTCGAAGCACGCCCTTTGAGCTGTTATTCACTCAACCTCTCGAATTCAAACATTTTCAAACATCCTCCTAAGACGAGTGCTCGCACGCATTCGCAACCTTTGACACTTCGCACACACATTCACAATTCCTCGTGGTCTCGATATTAGGAGCACCCTCAGGGACTAATAACGTTTCTCACAATTCTAACCCTTGACACGTCGTCAAGTCGGTTCCATCTTCGATCAAATCCTCGACACGTCGTCGAGCTACTTCAAAACAGCTTCCTTTTGGCCTCGCATGCCATTTTTCGGTTCGATCCTTTCACAAACATTTTTTAAAAACTTACGAAAGAGAGATATTCTTAGAATCTAGCATTCTCCGAATATTTGAATGGGTAACTCTCGAGGCGCGCCCTTGAGTTGTTATCAGTTCATTCTTCCGATTTTAAAACATCCAACTCTTTATCTTCAATTTATTCAGTCAATTCCCGAAAGAACTGAGTTCTTGGAGTCTCGCATTCCTTGGATTCTTGAGTGACAAGCCCTTGAGACACGCTCTTGGGTTTCTTGTCAGTCATCCTTTCGTCTCCTTCGCAAAACTTTCAACTCATTCAACCTCATCTTTCGTGGTTGTTACCACGAACTACGGAGGCTCTGATTCTTCATTCTAGTCTGAATGTAAGATACGTAGGCACAAGATTGCGATAATCTTGGCGAGCACATTTTCCTCCATCTTTCGTTTCCCCCCATCCTTCCCGTAGTCGAACTACGACGCTCTGATTTCTCATTCTCGTCCGAATGAGCATACGTAGGCACAAGGGCCCCAATCCTTGGCGAGCACCCCATCTTCTGACCATCCATCTCTCCTTTGCGTATTTAACCTTTTAACCTACCAATTCTACCTTTAACAACGAGAAGAAAACAAGTAAACCTAAACAACACTCCCCACAATTACCTTAAGAGGTTCCCGTCGAGTACGACGGACGTGAGGGGTGCTAATACCTTCCCCTCATGTAACCGACTCCCGAACCCGGAACTTGGTTGCGACAACCCTGTTCCTATCCTTTCGTTTTTAAGAGGTTTTCTCGATATTTTCCTCTCCCGTTTATTCGGGAAAAATAAAGTTCGGTGGCGACTCTGTCGAACCGCATTTTCCGCGCCTTTCGCGCGAGGGTCGTATGTTTGAATGAATTTTCGAGGTGCGACAATTATGCATACAACACAACAACATGGACAAAGACATTCACCATGGTCAATGTACCTCTCCACTACTATCCACCATGCACCAAACACCTGCCAAATCATGCAGCAACAACAACATAATGATATAGCAAGCAATAACAATGCATTTGCACACGTTCCACAAAACAACATCAACTCACTATGCATCAAATACATGCCTGCACATTAAATAATTTGAATTCTAGTACATAAAATAATTTTAAGTTAAAGTATATTACACCAGTTTTCCAACGCTTCAATCGACGCATTAATGGACACCTGGAACTAAAGTTATGAATTTTTGAAGTTTTTTACAAAATTTTCGACACACTGATGTAACAAATTACATTAACAATATAACCGGTTACATCAGTCCTAGAAACAGAATATTCAGTTTTCCCACAAGGTAAACCGGTTGCATCACTATAACCTGCCCAAAAACCCCATTTTTTTAATGATGTAACTAATTACATCAGTGAGTTAACCGATTACATGTGATGCAGGATCACTTTTCTGCTACTTTTTGACCCGAAAATCACTTTTTCCCAGTACCTAAACATCTCCAACTCTCACACAATGCACATTCCAGGTTCTAAATTACAACTCCTATTCACATACATCATTAACAACATTGTAACACATCCAATTTATCAATACCACATAAAATAACATATTCCACACAAATTAATTCACACCAACATACATCATCATAATCATACAATTTCTCATCATCCATTTGCACCCAATTTCATCAACAGAACATATTTTCACAATTGGAAGGTTTAGAACATATGAGAGGATTAATTCCTAGCAAACAAATCAATCCCTACCCCTAAACCATTATACAAACCCTTAAATAATCAGAACTTCACCCTTACCTTAGAGTTCTTGCAAAATCTTCTATCTCTTAACAATATCGGTCTCCTTTTCCCTTGAGCCCTAACTTTCTCTTCTCACTTTCTCGTGTTTCACGTTCTGACAATTTTCTATCCCCAAAACCCCTTTTCTTCTTTTATTATTTCTATTATTTACTTCCACCAATAATAATAATAATAATAATAATAATAATAATAATAATAATAATAATAATAATAATAATAATAATAATAATAATAATAATAATAATAATAATAATAATAATAATAATCTATAACTATATATAAAGAGGATACAACTTTTTGGTATGGCCTATTTTTGTTCCTATTTTACCCTTTAAAATTATTTAGAAGTTTTAGAAGTTATACAAATAAAAATTAACTACTCCCCCCATTTTATATTTGAATATTGTACACAAGTTAAATTAATTAGTTATTTGAAGAATTCTTTTTTTTAATTTCTCATTAAAAACTATATTTAAATACACATACCACAAATTCAAATATCCATAATTTTAATTAAAATAATCATAATCTATAACTATCTATAAAAGAAATAGGAAATTTTACTCTTATATTTTTTTATTCCCATTTTAACCTTAAAAATAAATATAGTTTATATAATTTTAAAAATAAAATAAAAATAAATATATGCAATTTTTTCAAAAAGGAAACAATCTAAAGTATATAACTTTGAGTGTTGGTTTTTTTTAAACTATTTTGTTAACTGCAAATTTTTTAAAATTATTATTTATCCTCTAATATTTTATATTTATTTTAATTTTAAAAGTACAAGTTATAAGTAAAAAGTGGATTTAAAATGTTGAGCAATTATCATGATGTATTAAAAATATGACTATAAGTGTCAATTTTTCATGTCAAATTATTATTATTATTATAACTTCTATAATATATTTGTACAATTTAGATATCTACACAGTAATATAGTTATTTTGTTTTATATTTTAATTATTGTCTGGTGAATCCCTATTATAATTAGTTCATATATTGAAATACAAGTATTATAGAAATAAAATAGTCCGCTTGAATAATAAATATAATTAAAGTTTCCTCCTCACGTATAATTATTATCCGTGTTCATATAATCTTAATTAGCAACTTATATAAAATAATTTTGGACACAAAATTATCCGTGTAGAAAAACATATAAGAATTCATTTATTAATAGTAATTTTAAAATAGTAATTCACGATGGGTTATATAAGTACAATATCATAACTATGTCATAATAGATTATTATAGTATACTTTAAAGAAGATTAGTAATTTATATGATACTCTATTAGATGTGTTATATCTTATATAAGTATATTAGGTATTTAATATAATAATCTTTAATATGATTAAACTTCTATAATTATTTGTAAATGTGATTGTTTCAAATTTATTATATAATTTTGATGATATGTTCGGACCTATTAACGTTAAATAATTTTGGTGTAGTTTTTTTACTTCCAATTTTATTTTTAATAAATTGATTCTTTTACACTATTTTTTTTACTGATAGATTAGTAAGTTATTATTCCTCATCTTTAGTAACAAATAATTTATTAATTAAATAAGAAATGATAATAAAAAAGTAGTAGTAACTTCTAAAAATAATTAACTGTTTTATAACTCATTAATCCCACTACTGAATGAAATAGAAACATATAGCAACTTCCGTACTTAATTAAATTAATTAAATAAGAAATAATAATAAAAAAGTAGTAGTAACTTCTAAAAATGATTAACTGCTTTATAACCCACTAATCCCATTATTGAATGATGAAATAGAAGCATATAACAACTTCCATATTCAACTAATATTATTATATTTAATTATATATTTAATTGATTTAATTTTGAAGATTTATAATGTATTTTATTTATGACTAAATTTATCCAAAATATTTTCTTAATAAAACTGAATGATAATGATTATAAAGTTCGTATACTCTAAGTTTTGATAAATTATATACTTAAAAAAGTGAATTATAATTGCCTAAAAGATTCATTGGAGTTCTTAAAACGCAATTTTTAAAAATATGATTAACCAATATTTTATTTTATTTTAAAAATAATTTTTTAAAATAAATTATAAAATAATTTTAAAATATTGAAAAATCTCAGTCAAATCTAAACTGTCTATTACTTTAAATCCAACGATAGAGGATAAGCAGTTTCCTCATTTCCCGCTCAGAATGATATATAAATATCCTTTCATCTTCTACTTTTTCACATTCAAAATGCAAAAGAATAAAAAGTTTCTCAAAATTTCTTACAAAAATGACAAGTTGGGAAAGGGTATTAGGGGGCTCGGAAAGGGAAGAACAAAGAGGCACATGATGATTATGCACGACAATATTTGGGGAATTACAAAGCCATCGATTCGTAGATTGGTTAGGAGAGGAGGTGTCAAGAGGATAAGTGGTTTGATCTATGAAGAAACTATGTTATTTCTTAAGGTTTTCTTGACAAAAATTATTCATGATACTGCTTCATATACTAATCATGCAAGAAGAAAGGTTGTGACTGCCATGGATGTTGTGTATACTCTTAAGAGACAAGGAAGAACTTTATATGGTTTTGGAGGTTGAAGAAGATACTTTTATTTATTTATTTATTATTATGTTATATTTTTATCGTCTAAGTTGTGTAATTTGTATTTCTGTTTCTGCATTTTAAAAAAAGTTTATATCTAAATAATAGTCGGTGATTATACAATGATCACCGTCTAATCTATGTAATTTGTATTTGTATTTTCAAAAATGTTTATTTTCAAGTATTAGTTGGTGATTATGCAATGATAATGACTAAATACTACAATATGTTTTTTCTATTGTATGGTTTATGGACAAAATTACACTATATATGCATTATATTAAATTTATGATGATTTTAGTTAAGTTAAATCTAATTTTTATAATTATAAATAACCTGAATATGAGTAGTTGGTTATTTTTGTTCTTTAACCATCATTAACTTCCATTAAAAAAAAACTTATGGAAAATTTAACACATATAACTCTTCTTTGCATGGTGATTTTTTTCTTGCAATTTTTAAAGAATTTTGAAGAGTGTTTGTTGGTGATCATACATAGAAAATAGATTAATTAATTTTTTCCATTATAGTTTGTTAAAAATGAATTTACACATATGTATGTATTTTAATTGATGACTGATTTTGTTAAGTTACATTTATAATTATTTTGGTGTATTATCCACAAGGTTTTGTCTTATTTAGAAGTCATGCGTAGAAAATATTGTTGTTAGATTTCAAATTATTTTCTTTTCCAAGATGATTTTTCACCATTGACATAGGGATTGTTATTCAACTGTTTTTGAATTAATTTATTGATGGAGATATTATTATTATTAAAATTTAATTGGTATGCACTAAACAATGCAAACTTTAAAAACCGCTCTATTATGCATGTTGTGCCACATATTGATTTTTTTAGGGATAATAAAGAGGATGACATATTACACTATATTATTTTAAAATAACTTATACTTTTGCAAAGTCACACTTGACGTGCACTCACTATATTACATTATATTATTTACTACTAAAATTTACTTCATTTGTTTTGCAGTAAAACAAGAGATATTTTTTATTTCGATTTCATGGTTGACCTTCCTATTAAGCAACAATGTCACTTAATGTCTCTGTTAATGTTTATGTTATTAGTTTAATAAATGTGAAAAACATTTTTTTCCTTATTTTATTTAAATCTTCGTATGATTTTGTACAATCTATAACAATACATAAATACAAAACTTAATTTTGGTGTAATCTATTTTCTTTTTCTTTAATACGGTATTCATAACCATCAAATTATTCCTTTCACATTATTGATTTGCTTGAAAAAAACCGGTTAAATATAGTCATCTCATAATGCGATTTTCTCAATTCAAACAAAATTTAACACACAAATATTACATATTGCAAATAAAACTTAATATGCATCTAAATAAATACAATGTATTTCATCATATAAATATTTGATATTAAAATCAAACTTATAAAAAGACGTTGTTAATATTTTCACGCGTTAGCGCAGTAAAAAAAGCGGACAAACGGGTAAATTGTGGCATTAAGTTACTATTATCATGGGTTTGGAAATGAAAGACATGGAAACAAATGTCGTGCACCTGAAATGGTAGAGTTATGTAGTTTAAGTTTCAACAGTTAAGAATGTTAGAAGCAGTTACAATTTATAAGGAAAATTTAAAAAAAAATATTAGAAAAATGCATTCAATTGCATAAAAAGATTTTAATGTTCAATTCTAATACTATTTAATGCATGCTAACATATCAAAATATATTACCATGTTCACCAAAACAAAGATCACCTTCACTCATGTCCAAAAATTAATCATCAATCTTTTTGATCTTTGCCATGGTTTTATTGTGACATTATCCGCTTATCCAACAAAATGGAAATGCATAAAACTAACCAAAACAGAGATTGACACTGAGTAATTGTGAAAACCGAATGAAAAATGCAGAAGGAGAAAAGATAAAGATTGACCAAGAAAGAAACTGAGTAATTGTGAAAACGGTGAAAATATGTATGATTCTTAAATTAACACTAAAATGGTGAAAATATATATGATTTCCTAAATTAACACTAAAATGGTGAAAATATATATGATTCCTAAATTAACACTAAAATGATGAAAATATATATGATTCTTAAATTATTAGTCACATAAAAATGACAATCTCATCAAAACCTGTAAAGTTAGATCAATGTATTTTTACTCCGATACTAAAATCAAAAGCTACACATTAGAACAAAATAAATGAAAATGCTTCATGATATTGTTTTACATATGTGAGCAGTAATATCAGATGTTAACACGGAAGCCATAAATGATGGTGCATCATGTCGTCCTCAAGGTATGTTCATAAACATTTTTGTGCCAAATAATGTAGCTTATACTCTTTCTTATTGAATTTCATAGTTATGGTGGTCTCGGGTTAGTGCTACAAGGTGTTGTGGAGGATTAATTCGGTATGTTTAAAATAATAGCAGCATTAATACATAGTTAATTCACTAAAGTATTTTTAGTATATATACACTTATCATCCTGATTTTAAGACTGCTTGAGAATATATAAAAACAAATGCATTAATTAATCTTAAATATGATGAAAACTTCATACAAAATATATACACGTTTATTTTTCTATGCTGTGCGCATTAAAAAAAGCGGACAGACGGGCACGGGAGTGCCCGTCTGAACGCTAATAATAATAATAATAATAATAATAATAATAATAATAATAATAATAATAATAATAATAATAATACATATTTATTTAACTAACTGAATTGAATAATACCAATATATATTATCTAATTAATTAATTATTAACTAATATTGCTAATGAATAATACCAATATATATTATCTAACTAATTAATTATTAACTAATATTGCTAATTAGCTCGCTCAACACACCATCCATCTATCCACTATTACTCACAAACCGTCAACACCTAAAATCATATTTTCAAAGACTACCACTGTACCCCAAAGGACTCTCTAATACACTAAAACACCAATCACACAACAAGATCACCAAATATCACATAATTAAGTCACAGAAATAATTTAAATTAAATTGGAACGTTACACAGACTGATAGGTAGTGCTGATGATAAAAAAAAAAAACTTACGTAAACACCATTCGTGCCTTCTGCAAATATTCCACGATTACATTGATACAATTTATTAAATAATATAATTCGAGTACGAATTACTCATGGACTAAGTTGAACTCCACATATATTATCTGTAATTAAATAGACTAACATAAAACTCTAAGAAAAAGTAACATGTTATTGTTATTGGAAATAAACAATTATTTAATAAATATATCAATAAGTAACACATATCTAATCTAATTCTTGAATTACGTCCAACTCCAAATTCAGACGTTTTACAACAGTATTAGCAATTGTATTAGTTGAAGCTGTAGGTCCGAAAGGGTTGATTGGTACTTTTAATTTGTCCCCTTCTCCTTGAAGCATTTGTATTACAGTTTTCATTGTCGGACGATGCAAAGGGTGCCATTGGATACACCAAAGTCCTACCGTTGCCATTTTTTTTGCAATTGTAAAATCACCATCTTCATCGATAGAGATTTGTGTATCTCCTCCTTCAAGCAAATTATGGATCCATTCTGGATACATAATCTGAATATTTTCTTCATCATCAGATTTTTTTGTACTCTTTCTTCCCCCGACCATCTCCAACAATAACATACCGTAACTGTATATATCAGACTTATAAGAGACATCTCCAAAGTTTCGAGAAAAAACTTCAGGTGCCATGTAGCCTAATGTTCCTTTAGCTGCAGTCATAGACACAACACTTTGATTTTTTGAACACATCTTAGCCAAACCAAAATCTGTAATCTTTGGAGTGAAATTTTCATCTAGCATAACATTATGAGGATTGATATCAAAGTGTAGAATTCTTTGTTCACAGCCTTGGTGAAGATACTCAATACCATTTGCTATGCCTAGAGCAATTTGTTGCAACTTATCCCATCCAAGAAAATCATCTTTGTTGTTGGGCAGAGAAATGAAATTATTCAACGAACCCTTTGGAAAAAAGTCATATACTAAAGCACGATAAAATCCATCTGCACAAAAGCCAAGCAAACGAACTACATTGATGTGGTGGATTTTGCCCATGGTTCCCACTTCATTTATGAAGTCATTTCCATCTCCTTCTGCATTATTAAGCATTTTTACGGCAACCTGAATCTGGTTTGACAACTTACCTTTATAAACAATTCCATGAGCCCCTTCACCTAACTTATCTTTAAATTTATTTGTGATTCTTTTTATATCGGCGTAGGAAAATCTAGTTGGCTTTAAAGCTTTGTAGTCCTTCAAAAAGTTTTCAATTCTTGCATAATCTTCGTCTTTCATTTTAAAATAGTGATATATTTGAAAAACTCCACCTATTAAAAGAACAAGTACCGCTGAACAAATAATTACACCTGCAAATTAAACATTTAATATTCTTAAATAATTATCACCAACATATTAAAATAAATTTACCTTGATTTTAATTGACAAGTCCAATTTTTAAACATATAATAGATAACTTATAAGAGGTTAAAAATATTGGTCACAATCACGTAAACAATTTTACAATTTTTATTAATACTAGGTGTTGCAATGATGATTGCAACCGTTACGACGTGAATTAACCCCAATTTTATTTGTTATTTTAATTGGATTTCTTAAAAGATTAATAAAAATTGTTTTTTTACATCATTTTATATTTTTGTATATAGCTAGTTTAATAGTTAGTTTTACCAAATACTCTAAATTAACTCAACTAGCTTGTTTGCTATATAGGAGTGTATATCTTTATTTTTATTACCATTGTATAGGAATGGGAGTTTATGTCATCGACAAGTTTATGTTACTGTTTTAAATATGTTAGTTCAATGGTAAAAACTCATATTCTAATTTAAATGAAAACATGCTTGTCTATTAGTATTAAGTCAACTATAAACTAAACCTCAAAAAAAGAGTGTGAATCGGAAGCAACCTCAAAATAAAACAAATTTAAGTATAGAAGGATAGGTATCTCACCTGCAGAGAATAAAATAATCTTCTTTGTTTTGTGCTTACATTCAAAGCATCCTTTGTCAAAATTTGTTTCCAACCATGAGAGTGAAATTGAGTTTTCTTGTATATTATACAAAGACTCTTGTGTAAGAAAAAGGGGCGGCCAACCTCGTGGAGACAGTTTGGTGCAGGAAAGAAGGTTTAAAAAAACCATATCCCCGTCAAATCCTGCCATATAAATTGGACAATAAACTTTGTCGAGCAGTTCACTATAGTATGTCCCTCGAAAACCTTGTTCTAATGGAGAACAATGAAAGAAACTAATATTGATAAATTTCCCTCCTTTCGAATATATCCGAAAAGGAAAAATTAATGATGAGAAGTTGTGGTGAAAAAAGAGGCGTGGAAGACAATTTTCAGGATCGCTTGCTTTTAATACTCGCGATGTGTGGTCAATTTCATGAACGAGGAGTTTTATAGAAGGTAGTTGAAGAATCATGTTGTTATCATGTGTACATGATATATCGAAAGGACATCCCATGGATGGGAGTGGGATTACAAGAATTAGCAATGTTATTGGTAATATTGTCATCATGAAGGAAGTAATGTTATTGGTAATTTTGTGTATGCTTGAGAGTGAGATATAGGTGTAGTGTAGTGTTTGATTCTTATATACTACTCATTCTAAGGGCCATTACCAAGTCAAGTCAATGTTATATTGCTTTTTTTTTTTAATAATATATACAAATACAAATAGAAATAATGAGAATTTTGTTATAAAAATGTGAGCCAACAATATTTATATCTCATTTACAAATTAACCGAAATTTAACCATGAGCGTATGGAAATCCTTCCCCTATTATGCAGAGACCATGTCACTGGTGGTTGTGCTGCTCCTGCATCATCATCTTCCAACATGTGATGCAATTACTAATAACCAAACACACTGTAAACCTTCTTCATGCGGCAAAATCAGTTACATAAAATATCCATTTCGACTGACGGATGACCCAACAACCTGTGGTGATCCGAGCTATGAGTTGTCCTGCGAAAACAACAGAACAGCATTAACTCTGTTTTCAGGGAAATACTATGTCCAGGAAATCAACTACATAACTTACACAATTCGATTAGTTGATCCTGGAATTGAAGAGAGTGATTGCTCATCCATTCCTCAAAATTTCTTAAGCAATGGCAATTTCACAACTAGATCCTCTGAGGAATGGGGTCCATATGAAATGCATTATCCTATTAAGTACGAAAACATAATATACTTGAATTGTAGTAAAGCAGTGAAGGATGATGCTGGGTATGTGGATACAGCTCCCTGCATCAACCGGGACTCCAAAACCTATCTTTATGTTTTTGCTGCTACCGACAATTGGGATGTGGAGAATGATCCTTCTAACACCTTTTCTGTTGGGAGATTAAAAGATTATTGCCGAGTGAAAGTTGTTGCCTTGTCATCAGCAGGTTTTCCTAATAACATGGTCAGAGAAGATGTACCAAAACGACCCCTTTCCTCATACAAGCAAATTCATGGAATGCTACTCCATGGATTTGAGGTATCGTGGAAACCTAGTCCTTGTAAAGATACTTGCGGCTATCAAGTCACGTGCAACTTCGATCCATTCACCGGAGTTTTTGATTGCCAGAACCCGTCCAATGGTTGCCATTATCCTTTCGGAACTGATGTCAATTGCAGTAAGAAATTCATCTTTTCAATTTCACAAATATTATTTAAATACAGTTTTTAACAATTAAAGAAAACGTTTGAGCTAACCTTTTTTTTCTTTTTTATTCAGCCAACATATCAAAGCAGCTCGTATTAGTGGAAGGTACGAAGTTATTTCTAAATGTTTCATTCTTAAACTTCAAAACTTCAAATGTTTCATAATTATGCTAACTTTACTTTCTTTTATATATATAAAATTGTATATTTTCTATGCTGTTTGTTGATGCAAGGACTATAATTTATTGCAGATATTTTACTTGGCATTGCTAAAGGTAACGTTTTATATTTTTCACATCTATATGCTAATTTTCCGTTATTTTTTCACATTTATTGCAAATAATTACTGAAACATAAGCAGCAACATTAACACTAGCAGACAGCAAGCGATACATCGACTTAACCAAAAACCGAACATATCCATCCTCTACCTGTAGAACCGACAGAACACCCTGTAAAATAACTGAAAGAACACTCCACTGCTTAGTGACTCTTCTGTCAGCTTAGAGTCGATCAAATGTAAGTCCCACATCCAATCTTGATTCTCCCAATAACCCATGTCTTGAATCTTTCCTACCTATATCTAAAGAAGAACCTTCACTAACTTTAGATGAGATATCACCATATCTAAAGGATAGAACACCATGCCAAATACCCTATTTCTCACTTAATATTCTCCACATCCATTTACTAAAACGAGCTTTATTGAAAATTTCACAGTTCTTCAAACCTAAACCTCCTTCCTCCTTATCACAACAAACTTTATTCTAACTTAACCAATTTATCGTCCTCCTCCCCTCGTCATAAGAAAATTTCTTTTAATCTTAATAATCTCCTTAATCATCACTTTAGGGACCTTAAAGAAGAAAAAAACTGAAAGGATAGATTATTGAGAACATCATTCTGTTGAAAAATTAAACTTGATTTGGACCTAAAATATTATTTGAATTTTTGGGCTTAGTTGTTTTGGACTTAGGTAATTTTAATTAATATTTTTAGAAAACTCTTGTAATGTTTGGAGTGTCTAGATATTTCTTAAGGTTGTAGTATTCTCTAGAATACTCTTGGAATTCCTAGAGTTGAGAACTCTCTAGAATTAGTGTGTCTAGAGTTCTCCTTAGAGTACTATAAATAGAGATGTAATTCTACACTTTTGCATCAAGAAAAACACAAAGTTCTCTCTTCCATAAATAATTCTTCTACCTATCAAATTTCTCTTTAAGTCTCTAATATTCCCACACACTTTTCCTAAACACAAAAGGTCTTATTTCCAACAAAGTGGCATTAGAGCTTGAAGGTACTCAAAAGATGGCGAGTGGAGGTTTCCCTTTTCAAATGTCGATGCTCACAAAGAACAACTATGACAATTGGAGTATCAAGATGAAGGCGCTACTAGGAGCTCAAGATGTGTGGGATATCGTTGAGAAAGGCTTTAAGGAGCAAGATGAAGCCTCCTTAAGCCAAGGTGTAAAGGAGACATTAAATGAGTCAAGAAAGAGAGACAAGCAAGCTCTCTTCCTCATTTATCAATCGGTGGATGAAGATACATTTGAGAAGATCTCCAATGCAACGACGACCAAAGAAGCATGGGATAAGCTTCAAACTTGCAACAAAGGAGTGGAGCAAGTGAAAAAGATTCGTCTTCAAACTCTTAGAGGTGAGTTTGAACGTTTATTTATGGAAGAGTCTGAGTCAATTTCTGATTATTTTTCTCGAGTATTGTCCTTAGTCAATCAACTTAAAAGAAATGGTGAAGATGTTGATGAGGTGAAAGTCATGGAAAAAATACTTCGCACTTTAAATCCAAGTTTTGACTTCATTGTTACCAACATTGAAGAAAACAAGGATTTAAACACCATGACTATTGAGCAACTTATGAGTTCCTTACAAGCATACGAAGAAAAACAAAAGAGAAAAACTAAACAAAAGGAGACTATGGAACAACTATTACAATTCAATGCAAAGGAAGCAAACTATGTGAGTTACAAGAGTCAAAGAGGACGAGGTCGTGGCCAAGACCGTGGACGTGGACGTGGACGAGGACATGAAGGAGAAAGAAGAGGAAGTTACAATAACTACTCCAACAACTTCAACAATGGAGAGAGAAGTTGGAATCCACAAGCAACAAGAGGCCGTGGCAATGGAAATTCATGGTCAAGGTGCAACAAGTTACAAATCAAGTGCTTCAATTGCAACAAAATCGGTCACTATGCATCTGAGTGTAGATTCTCAAAGAAGGTTGTGGAGAAAGCTAACTTTGTAGAAGAAAAAGGTGGAGAAGAAGAAACTTTGCTGCTCGCGTGCCAAAACCAATTTGAAGAGAAAAGAAACAAGTGGTACCTCGACACCGGCGCAAGCAACCACATGTGCGGCGATCGAAGCATGTTCATAGAGATCAATGAAGCGACAACTGGAAATGTCTCATTTGGAGATGACTCAAAGATACCGGTCAAAGACAAAGGTAAAATTCTCATACGCTTAAAGAATGGGAGTCATCAATTCATATCCAACGTCTACTATGTTCCTAACATGAAAAATAATATTTTGAGCTTGGGACAATTATTGGAGAAAGGATATGACATTCACTTGAAAGAACATAGTCTTTTCTTAAGAGATTGTGGGCATAAATTGATTGCTAAGGTGCCTATGTCAAAGAATAGAATGTTCCTCTTGAACATTCAAAATGATGTGGCAAAGTGTCTCAAGGCCTGCTATACCGACTCTTCGTGGCTATGGCATCTACGATTTGGACACCTCAACTTCGGTAGTCTAGAATGTTTGTCAAAGAAGGAGATGGTGAAAGGCTTGCCTAGTATAAACCACCCAGACCAACTATGTGAAGGATGTCTAATTGGGAAGCAATTCCGAAAAAGCTTTCCAAAGGAATCAACATCAAGAGCGACAAAACCACTAGAGCTCATACACACTGATGTCTGTGGACCAATCAATCCAAACTCTTTTGGTAAGAATAAATACTTTCTCCTATTTATTGATGATTATTCTAGAAAAACATGGGTTTATTTCTTGAAGGAGAAATCAGAAGTGTTTGAAAACTTTAAGAAGTTCAAAGCCCTTGTGGAGAAAGAAAGTGGTCTTTCTATTAAGGCTATGAGATCTGATCGAGGAGGAGAGTTTACTTCAAATGAGTTCAACAAATATTGTGAAGAGCATGGAATACGCCGCTTACTAACAGTGCCAAGATCGCCACAACAAAATGGAGTAGTGGAGAGAAAGAACCAGACCATACTTAATATGGTGCGAAGCATGCTTAAGAGTAAGAAGATGCCGAAAGAGTTTTGGGCCGAAGCAGTGGCATGTGCGGTTTACTTGACAAACCGTTCTCCAACAAGAAGTGTGCATGAGAAGACACCACAAGAAGCATGGAGTGGAAGGAAGCCAGGTATCTCTCACCTCAAAGTGTTTGGAAGCATTGCATATACCCACGTTCCAGATGAAAGGAGAACAAAGCTCGATGATAAAAGTGAGAAGTATGTATTTGTAGGTTACGACTCAAGCTCCAAAGTGTACAAGCTCTATAATCCAAATAGCAGAAAGATTGTCATAAGTCGTGACGTGGAGTTCGAAGAAGAAGATTGTTGGGGTTGGAATGTTCAAGAAGATAGGTATGATTTTCTTCCTTATTTTGAAGAAGAAGAAGAAGAAGATGAAATGGAACAACCAATGATAGATGAACATATTACACCACCTACCTCACCGACACCAAGGTTGGATGAAACAAGCTCAAGTGAGAGGACACCATAATTAAGGAGCATTGAAGAGCTTTATGAGGTAACCGAAAACCAAAATGACATTAACCTCTTTTGTCTTTTTGGTGATTGCGAACCTCTAAGCTATCAAGAAGCTGTTGAAAATGTAAAATGGAGAGACGCCATGGATGAAGAAATAAAGTCAATCACGAAGAAAGATACGTGGGAAATTACTACACTTCCACAAGGACACAAAGCAATCGGAGTAAGATGGGTGTACAAGGCGAAGAAGAATGCAAAAGGAGACATGGAGAGATACAAAGCAAGACTGGTGGCAAAAGGCTATAGTCAAAGACAAGGAATTGACTATGATGAGGTATTTGCCCCCGTTTCTCGTCTTGAAACTATTAGACTGATCATTTCTTTGGCAGCCCAGAATGAATGGAAGATCTATCAAATGGATGTGAAGTCGGCCTTCTTGAATGGTTTTCTCGAAGAAGAAGTTTATATCGAGCAACCACAAGGATATGAAGTAAAAGGGCAAGAAGAAAAAGTCCTTAAGTTGAAAAAGGCGTTGTACGGACTCAAGCAAGCACCGAGAGCTTGGAATGTTCGAATCGACAAGTACTTTCGAGACAAGAACTTCATCAAGTGTCCATATGAGCATGCACTCTATATTAAAGCGCAAAGTGGAAATATTTTGATCGTGTGCTTATATGTTGATGACTTGATCTTCACTGGGAACAATCTAAGCATGTTCGAAGAGTTCAAGAAAGACATGTCAAATGAATTTGAGATGACAGATATGTGGCTCATGGCATATTATCTTGGCATTGAAGTAAAGCAAGAAGACAAAGGAATTTTTATCACCCAAGAAGGCTATGCAAAAGAAGTCCTTAAGAAGTTCAAGATGGATGATGCTAATCCGGTTGGCACCCCGATGGAATGTGGCAGCAAGTTGAGTAAGCATGAAAGTGGAGAGTTTGTGGATCCAACTCTTTACAAAAGTTTGGTTGGAAGTCTATGTTACTTGACAAGTACAAGGCCGAATATTCTCTATGCTGTAGGAGTTGTAAGTCGTTACATGGAAGCTCCAACAACAACTCACTTCAAGGCGGCAAAGAGAATCCTTCGATATATCAAAGGTACAACAAACTTTGGCTTACACTATTACTCTTCTAACAATCATGAAATTGTTGGCTATAGTGATAGCGATTGGAGTGGAGACGTGGACGATAGAAAGAGCACTACTGGTTTTGTATTCTTTATGGGAGATATTGATTTCACTTGGATGTCAAAGAAACAACCTATCGTCACACTGTCAACTTGTGAAGCTGAATATGTTGCCGCTACATCATGTGTTTGCCATGCAGTTTGGCTAAGGAACTTGTTGAAAGAGTTAAAAATGCCACAAGAAGATCCTATGGAAATATGTGTTGACAATAAATCAACACTTGCTTTGGCAAAGAATCCTGTATTTCATGAAAGAAGTAAACACATCGACACCCGTTACCACTTTATAAGAGAATGCATCGAGAAGAAGGATGTGAGGTTGAAGTATGTGATGT